GTGGTCACCCCCCCCCCAAAAAAAAAAAATAATAAAATAAATAAATAAAAAAATAAATAAAAAGAATAAATAAAAAGTGTCTGTCTATGAACTAAACTGCAATCAAACAAAAAATTATAAACCACTAAGTATATGTCTTGAATTTATAAAAGTGAGAGAGAGAGAGAGAGAGAGAGAGAGAGAGAGAGAGAGAGAGAGAGAGAGAGAGAGAGAGAGAGAGAGAGAGAGAGAGAGAAACTGCAGGTTTTGAGACCAATAATTTGTAATTTTCAATATGGTAAAGATTAGAAAAAATGTTTGAAACTGCTTGCTTCAGGATTCTCTTTGAAAGAGGTTGGAACTTTAAAATCTGAAATAACATCTTTATGATAAACCTTTGAGTTATGCTCACTAAATCCAAAAAACAATGAAAGAAATTAGCATGGAAAGAACGGCAGCTGTCAAAATATCTTTGTTTATATCATTATACAATGGGGATTGTCATATGTAGCGAGAACAATGTACAGTATACAAAGTGTTAATTAACGTAAATATTGCAGAAAATGTCACACAAACAAACACTCACATTGACAACCACTGGACCAACTAAGATAAGCAAACATAGTATCTGCCTATAAATACTGATCCCAATGATACCTTGATTGCAACCCAATGACTATGGCTATCAAATGTGTTCTTTGGGAATGCAAGTAGGTATGTGAACTGCTTGTTATCCAATTATTCCTCATCTATTTCTTAAAAAAAAAGGGGCTATAAGTAGAACCTTTGATTGCCGTTTTCTGTCTTTCCTTTTCAAAATAGTTTGCAGCTATACTTATTGTCGCATGTCAATGTCTTTGGCATCCTTTTTCTCAGGAAAGATTATCTGGAAAACCACAGTTTGCATTTCCTGCTTAATGTCTTCCATTCTCTCTCTCTCTCTTTCTCTCTCTCTCTCTCAAAACACACACAAACACATAAAACAGCTTCTATAGAATAAGGATGAACTTATGTCTGAAAAGGGAAAGAAAGAAAGAAAGAAAAAAAAAAAGAGAGAGAGAGAGAGAAAAAAAAAAAGACAACAATAATGATAATACAAATAAAGAGGGTCCCCTTAAACCTTTAATAGTCAGGCATAAATTTCTGCTGTCACATCAGCCGATAAAATGTTCATGTTAGTTGTTTATCTTTTTTTTGGTTGTTGTTGTTTTCGTATCTGAATCCTCCTTCCTACAGGAATCTATGTACTCACCCGCTGAATTCAGACAACCTCACAGATCCAGAACTCCAACTCTTTAAAATGTATCAGATTTAAAAATGGTTAATAACAGTAAATGCATAATCATTCCTGAATTCAATGGAGCTGTTTTTTTTTGTTTTTTTTTCAGTAATTTCGTTTTTTTCTTTTTCTTTATCTTACTTTCCCTTTTAAGTCTTAGATAATAATAAAAAAAAAAAATTTATATCTTGTGCACATATATTTTTATTATACAGCTTACTTACTGAAGGATTCATGCTGTAGACTGATTAGCTGATTATATGAAGCGAGATGCTGTGCCGTGCATAAAAAAAATGACGACAGATTCTGCATTAATAAAGAGACCAAGAAGCAAATAGTGACAGATATTTTCCCCTCCGCCCCCACTATCTTTTAATTATATCATGTATATGTTTGCCGTAACTGTGTTAAAGCATGGGTAAAGAGGTGTGGTTAAAAGTCCTTTCAAATGATAGGCACTAGTCTGATAGTAGCTAGTTCATCTTGTAAAAGAGTATCTAATAGCTACATATTAAAATACCAACATTTATTATTACTTGTTAATAATAATATCATAAATTTCTCTAATCCTTCTGGTTCTGTTTTGTTACAAAAAAATCATTTGTAAAAGACTTTGGGTGATACAAGTTGTACTCCATTCTTTTTTTTCTTTTTTCTTTTTTTTTGATTCAGTCCTTATCATCTTGTTCATTCATGAGATTCACAATGATTAAATAATCAAAAATGGAAAATAACAAGAAACTTTGGAAGAATAAACAAAAACTATTCTTTGCCAAATACCTACAAGGCCATATCCCACAGTGTGTTTAAGTAACTCGTTTTACATGCTTTGTAACCACTCCTTTTAAAAATAATTAAAAAAGGAAATGGCTATTGTTTTTACTTGCAGCCTTTTTTTTCATTTGCTTGTTTGTTTGTTTATGCACTTTCTTGAAGCAAGCTTAAGTAGTTCCACACATGGCATATGCATTCACAAGCTTGTTTCTTACTGATACAATCCTTCAAGCAATATCTCTTCACAGACAATACCTTCTGACTCTAAAGTAGGAAGCGATGACCTCGAAGGGGTCTGCAGATGGCCGGGCCTTCTTGTCTTCAGAATTTAATGATACATTTTCATTTTCACTTACATCTATACAGCAGTAGTTCTCTGAAGTATATTACCTAAACAAACTTTTTAACGGCTATCCTTTTTTTTCTTTCCTTTACTTTCTTTCTTTTTTTTCTCTCTCTCTCTCTCTC